AAAACGAAGTAAAACAAAACAAGAAAATCACAAAAACAAAAAAAGAAAATAAATACAGCAAGTTGGGGGGTGGTAATCCGCAGACCAGGGATTGAGCCCTGGCTGAGTCTGTAACACTATCCCCTCCCTCTAGAAGGCAACGTCCCCGCTGCCAAAAGTCATGAATATAATGCTGAATCCTGTGTAGGACGGGGCCGGGCCGATCACTGGGAAACAGGAAGAAAAACTGTGGGTAGCAACTTAACAAGGGCTGGGGGAAACAGGGTTTTCCTACTGATGAGCTACGGGGTATGCTTACCGATGGACTACTGAGAGGGAACAGAGTTTGCCTACTAATGAACTTCAGGGTTAGGAACTGCAGGGGAACAGGGTTGTCCTACTGATGGACTACAGGGTTATGATCTGAGGGGGTAACAGGGTTGTCGTACTGATGAACTATTGGGCGAAAGGGTCCTGTGAGCAAAAATAAAGAAAGGAAAATTATTTTTTAGTGTTCGGGGGTTGGGGTTTGTGAGGATCTCGAAGTGAATGGGGTTGGGGGGGAAATCGCAGGTTCTGCAAAATGGTCTGGCTGAGAGTCTAGAAGCACGTCTTGAAGTAAGTCCAGGTACAGAATGCTGATGATAAACCAGTCTTCAGCAGGCTTACTATGTGCAGTAGCGAGGGTTCCAGCTTGAAAGAAGTAGTGTAGCAGTCCAATAGATGGTCCAAGTGCCAGGGTGCGTCCTGTACACGATCCTGATGATGAAGTCTGTCCAGATAGCAGGTCGCAGTCTTGATGAAAGTTTGCGAGTCCAGGTGCCAGCCAATGGGACAGCATGATGGCCAACCAGCTGCTTAATCTCCTCGAACTGTGCTGCAGCAGGCCATCGTCCTCGTGCACTTGCCATTAGATCCTTTATCACCGGCGATGCACAGGAGCCACAGGTAAGGCTTGGACAAGAGACACAGAGGATGTGGCGGAGGACAGATCGGGGAACGAGACAGAGGCAAGAGCGGATCAGACAGAGAGAGGTCGAGGGGCAGGGGTTTTGCTGGGTGCAGGGGGTGTGTGTAGAGCAATGAGGCAGGGTTTATGCAGGGTATATGGGTGTTATATGTAGTATATAGCTAGGATACACGGTGAGCACGACCGATAGGCACGGACAAGTTTCATGGCGTTCTTCAGATCATCGAGGGGTTCCCATGTAGATTCTTCATGTGGGTATCCGGTCCATTTGACTTTGTATTCAGTGATTGGTTCCGAGTAATCGGATACTTGAGTTGTTCTTCATCCTATGATAGATTCTACCACGAATTTTGGCCCGGTAGGTAGCATGGTTGGTGGAGGTCTAGGATACGGGCAGTCGGCAGATTGAGGAGGTGATTCATGGTATTCTTTTTAAGTACTCGACATGGAAGACAGGGTGAACACGGCTCATGTCAGGGTGTAGTTGAAGTTCGTAATTTACAGGGGATGTTTGTTCAATGATGGACCGAGCCACTTGTTTGTGAGTTTCTTGGACAAGCCATGTTCGGGTTCAAAGCTTTTGGCGGAGAGCCAGACTCTGTCCCCTACTTTGAATGTGATATCTTGTTTGTGCTTGTTGGTCTTGTTGGCTTGCTGTTGTTGGGTTCTTTCAAGGGCGTCAATGGCTTCTCTGAGGAGGCGTTTCATTCTTGCAACCCATTCATTGAGAGAAGGACAGGGAGTGGATGGGTTGAGCTGCGAGGGGAGCAAGAAGTCTGAGGGCAAGCGGGGATGGTAGCCAAGGTCAAGGTAGTATGGGGACATACTAGTGGAAGGGCAGACAACATTGTTGTAGGCAATCTCAACGGCGGTGAGCAAATG